CCGAACCGCCCGTCCCGAATGTCTCAACGCCGCGATGCTGTCTGGGGTGCGAGGGCGACCGAGGCAGCCGTGCCCCAGCCCCGGGTGCCCTGCCGCCGGCCTGCCCGCCGCGGGCAGACGCAGCGGCTCTCTTCGGTGCCCCCCTGGGGAGGCGGAGGCCCCACGGGGGTGCCTCGGAGCCTCGCGGCGGCGTCCGAGGCGCCCAGGTGGGCACGCCGGCTGGGCGTTTGTGTGATGCAGTGTTCTGCCGATCGGCGCGGGCAGGGGGCCACATGCGAACCCTACCCCTACCCCCCACGAGTTCTGAGGGGGAGGGCGGGGTTCACTTCGTTCAGGAGCTCCCCCTCCCCCTCAGAAATCGTGGGGGGGGGGGTAGGGGTAGGGTTCGCATGTGGCCCCATAGCGGGCCCCCCTCCCTTTCCATGGAGTAGATCTTGTCTGTGTTCTGGCGCCTGTTTCGAGCGGGTGGAGGCTCCCCCAGAGACCGCACTCGTGCAAGCAGTCGCGCTAAGCAGGGGTCTGGAGCCAGATCTCCCCCTCCCCCCCCATTGCCGCCCAATGTCGAAACGCCGAGTAAAACCTGATATTGCTACGAACCCCGACCTTGGAGGACAAGTGGGCGTGACTTGCGAGGAGGAGGGCGCATAATGCTGATTCCCGTGTTGTCAGTTTACATTCTGCTGGCTCCCGTGTTGTCCGTTTGATGCTGTGACACTTTGTCGGGGTGTCTCCGACCCTCTTGGAGCCCTGCTGTTGGGGAGTCTTCGGGCCCTGGGGCGTCTCCGACCACCTCGGGGCCCTCTGAGGCAGTCTTGGGGCCCTCTTGGGGGCCTCTGGGGGCTTCCTGGGGTCCTCTTGGAGGCTTCTAGGGGCCTCTTGGGGGCCTTTTGGGGCATCCTGGGTTTTTGTTGGGGGGGCGGAGAGCCCAAAATGTCGGTCCCTGCCCCCCCTCTTGGGCCCCTCTTTTGGGTGCCGTCTTGGAGGCCGTTTCGGTCGTCTTGGGAGCGTCTTGGGCCGTCTGAGCGCTTTCTTGAGGGCATCCTGGGGGCCTCTGAGGCCGTCTTGGTGGGATCTTTCGGGCCTTTAGGGCCGTCTGGGAGCGTCGGGAAGCCGACAATCTGCAGAAACCCAAAGAAAATCAATGAATTTTGCCTCTCGGAGCCCTCTTGGAACCCCTCTGGGAAGCCTCGCGGGGCCTCTTCGGGGCTGTCTGGGCCGTGTAGGAGCCATCTGGGATGGTCTGGTCCGAACAGTAGGCAGTAGGGGGCTCGTGGCCCTCTTGGACCATCTTACGGACCATCTTGGGGCCGCCCGTGCCGCACGGAAGTGTGTCTGCCGAAATGGGGCCGGCTTCCTCTGGCGTTCGCCGCGTGGCCGGGGCCATGTCCCGGGGGGTACTCCCCCAGACCCCCCCAGGGGAACACTAAACGGGAACCCATCCGCAAGGTCGGGGAAAAACGCTCACCAGCTGTTTCTGGTCGCGACCGATCGGTCGTGGTCGATGTTGGAGCCAAGTCGGTCGCCACCGTTCTCGGGAGTTCAAGTGAAATCGGTGGCGGCCGATCTCGTCCGTCGGCCACGGCCAAAAATAATCTGGCATCCGATGGTCAGGGTGGTCTGGGCATGTGCGCGATCCCGGGCCGAGGGTTGTCACAGGCCCAGCCCATCCCCCCAGATGGGACGTGCTCTGGGGGGGGGGGGGTCACAGCCGCCCCCGATGGGATGGGGGGAAGGCTTAAGTAGGGCCCGTCCCTCTACAGGAGGAGTATACAAAAATAGTTGTTTTATGTCAGGGGACGATTTTTCTACCATTCTTGTTTTTGTTGAACATGTTAGAATATTTCTGATTTTCCGTCCAGAATCCCCCTGTAGGGGGACAGGCCCGACCTAAGGGAAGGCGGGGGAACGACGACGACAATGACCACCACCACCGCGCCACGCCCACAGGGCCACGACCACAAGGGGGGGAGATGACCCATCGCGCGGGGGGGGGGGGCAGGGGGCGCAAACCCAGACTTGCGACGTCCTGATTTTGTTCCGTATACGGGGTCCCCTGAAGTCCCGACCCCTTCCCCGGGACCGGCTCTTCCTCCCGACTCGTTCTCTGACGCTCCCGAGGCCCGGCGAGAGGGCCCCGGGGGCCGAAGTCGGCCACAAACCTCGCGTTGTCTTTCTGGATTTTCGTTCACGACGCGATCGCGCTTGTGGGAAGGCATCAGCATGAGAAGGGGGAGGGGCCCGGAGCCCTGGAGAAGGCATCGGCGTGAGAAGGGGGGGGGCCCGGAGCCCTGGACCATGTGTCGGCTCCGGCCTCGGAGCGAGAGCTGCTGGGGCGCGGAGGAGCCGAGCGACGGCGAGGCGGCACCCGCCGTCGGCGACGGCGGCGCCGCCGCGCGGGAGGGCGCCCTCCTGGCGGAGGGCCTCTCGGCCGACCTGGCCCGCCGCGTGGCCGCCGCGCTGCCCGCGGCGGGCCCGCCGCCCCTGATGCCTCTCCGCTCCGCGGGGTGCACGTCTGGACCTCCTCCTCCTCCTCCCCTCCTCCTCCTCCTCCTCGTCCTCCTCCTCCTCTCTCCTCCTCCTCCTCCTCCTCCTCCTCCTTCCTCCCCCCTATTCCCCCTCCTCCTCCTCCTCCTCCTCCTCCTCCTCCTCCTCCTCCCCTCCTCCCCCTCCTCGTCCTCGTCCTCCTCCTCCTGCACGGAGGCGTGGGGGGGGCGTGCGCCGCGCCGCCGGCCGCGCTCGAGGAAGTGCAAGGCAGGAACCAGGCACGGACGGAGGCGCCCCCCCTCAGGGCCGCTGCGGGGAGACGTCTGCGCGGGCGTTCGCTCGGCCTGGGCGTGCGGGTGCAGCGGGTGCGGTCCCCAGTCGGTTCGGTGTCGTTGGTCGACGCGCGTGTCGCCAGAGGAGCCCGATGGTTTTGTCTAGCCGTATGTTGGGCACGTCCCCCTACAGGAGGAATATCCAAACATAGTGAACAAATGATATGGTGACGATTTTCCTACTGTTTGGGATCATGTTGCATATTGTTTTGACTATATTGTATTTGTCCTCTACCTAAGTCTGGGCGTGCGGGTGCATGGGTGTGGTCCCCAGTCGGTTCGGTGTCGCTGGTCGACGCGCGTGCCGCCAGAGGAGCCCGCTGGTTTTGTCTAGCCGAATGTTGGGCACGTCCCTCTACAGGAGGAATAGCCAAACACAGTGAACAAATCATATGGTGACGATGCTCCTACTATTTGGGGTCATATGTTTCATTTGTCCTTCACCTAAGTCTGGGCGTGCGGGTGCACGGGTGCGGTCCCCAGTCGGTTCGGTGTCGCTGGTCGACGCACGTTTCGCCAGATGAGCCCACTGGTTTCGTCTAGCCTCCCTCCTTGGGGTGCACTCGGAGTGCGGGGTCGTGCGTACGAGGAGTGCCCCTTGCAGCTTTCATGACAGGGCGTTTTGCCAGAGGGGATTCGACCCACCCCCGAAAACATACATGAGAGCGCCGCTGCTAGCAGCGGCGAACCCCTGTCCGTTCAAAATCGGCGCGATCTGTCGCCAGGTGAGGCGGCATTGGCGCCTTGTGTCAGGGGGCCTCTTTCCCTGATCTGTGGACCTGGCGCCCGCCTGCCAGACCCACGGATCCGTAAGCCATGTCAGCGTGCGGCCGACCTGTGTCGCAGGCCTAGAGGTTGACACCAACTCCAGTGTCGGCGCTGTGCCTCCACCGAGGGAAGAAGATCTCGATCTCGGTGATGGTGGCAATATTCAGACTTCCAAGGTGACCGACATATTCCCACGCACGCCGAGGTCTAGGATCCTCTTCCCCCTGTGGAGGCAACCCCATGTGCTGGTGTTGGTGCCCACTTCCAGGCCTCCAACTGTGGGAGCCCTGGGTGCCTCTCTTCGGGGGGGGTGTGCTGTTGTTGTCCGCGGGGGCGTCGCAGCGCCGCGCTCCCCCTCTGGGAGGCCCGGGGCCGTGCCCGAGGGGGCCCTTCCCGGGGGGTCGTCGTGGCGCCTCTCTGGGGCGCCTCGCGGGCTGGCAGCGGTCGGCAGGCCGCGCGGGCGGCGCACGGCTTCAGCTCGGCCCGAGCGGTAACGGGCACGGCAAGGAGGGGTACAGCTGGACCGATGTATAAGATCACTGTGGTCGGTTCGGGGAGGGTGCCTTGATGCTCGTCGTGCCTGCTCGGTGCTCGTGTGCAGCCTGGCGGGGGTGACCCTTGGATGTCCTGTGTCTTCTGGCCCGCGGAGGGTCTCGTGTGCTCGAGGGATGTTTTTTTGTTGCCTGGCCAAGGTCCGACGGTACCAAGGTCGACAGCAGCTCCTGCCTGTGTAGGACAGGACTCGCTGTGGGTGCCGCCGCAGGCGTTGTCCATTTGAGGCAGGAGGTCGCCTGCCCCACAGCGGCTGCTCCTGGTTTTTGGGCAACGTTTGTTGTTGAGCATCGTGCCCAGTCTTTCGGTACCCATTTGGGGGTGTCGCATTCGAGCGGGAGAAGAACGGCACAAGATGTTGTGCTCCACCCTCGTGGGCGCTTGTCCCAGGGCGGCGTAGAAGTTGTTGCCCTTCTTACGGTGGCAAGAGGGGGGCACGCTTGCAATGTTCCAGCCGCCTTGGGACAGGCGCCCCCGATGGCGGATTAGTACATATGCATCCACAGACTAATACTTGTATACACAACAAACTACATATACATATACCTGTACACATACATAGACCATTCATATACCAATGCCTGCGCACGTACATTTATACATATCTATGTTTCATACAAGTACACATAACTACACAATCAGCTGCACATACATGAGTACATACACACACTGTCACATGTACGTAATCTTATACATACCTTCATATCTATGTGTGTATACACAGTTACGGCACCTATACACATACATAACATCGACGTATACGTATACACATGCATACAAATATACGTTCTTGCATGCACGCATGCATGCATGTATGCATACATACAGCCACACATACCTATACACACATATACACACAGCGAGGAGCTCACGCGCCGAGTGGCCCCATGGTGCCGGCGAGTCTACCGCGACGTGGGGCTGCGCTCGCGGCCCCGGCCGTCCCTGCCGGAGGTGCACCTGGGCCGCGGGTGCGTCGTGCTCGCGGAGGCCGGCGTGCCGGGCCGGGCGGCGGCGTACTCGGTGGCGTTCTTCTTGGAGGACGAAGTCGGGCGTGTGTCCCTCTACGGGGGGACGACTCAAAGATGGGAAAGTCATGCTCTGGGCGCGATTTGTTTTTTAATTATTGTTGATCATGTTTGAGCAGGTTTTGACTCTTTTTGGCACTTCGTCCAAAATCCGTCCGTAGGGGACGCGCCCGGCCTGAATGGAGGACCCGGCGGCGGGCAGCAGGGACCCCGTGATCCGCCTGCCGCTGGGCCCGGCCGCGCGGCTCGTGCGCGAGGCGGGGGGCTCTCCGCAAGGGGTGGGGCGGAGACCGGTCTTTGCAAGAGCCTGGCGATAGTAACCGGGGGTGATCGGGCTCGCTCGACCCCCCCCCCTCCCTGATGGTCAAGCAGTGGCGAAGCGTCTTGGCTCGCCTATAGCCCCACCAAGCAATGTTCTAAGAACCTTTTGTGGTTCACACGAGATGTTCTTAGAACATTTCTGGCGGAGCCCGTCTTGTTTTGACACATCGGGAATTTGTTCTAAGAACATTGCTTTTGTTATTCGAACATTTTGGGGTTCTAAGAACATCTCGTGGTATAACTATAGGAATGCCGGGACGGTCGGTCCCTGCTCAAGATGGGCCTGTTATTTATCGACGGCGAGCGAGGGGGGGAAGTGAGAGATGGGCCTGTTATTTATCGACGGCGAGCGAGGGGGGGAAGTGAGAGGGGGCGGGCCTTCTCAGAAGGCACGGAAGCCCCCGGGTCTTCTGAGGAGTTTTCAAAGCGTCCCCCGAAGACACAGAGAACTTGTCAGAAGGAGCCAGGGCTTCTGAGAAGTCCTGCCGCCTTCTGAGAAGGCCTTCTCCTTTCATTTCCCCCCCTCGCTCGCCGCCAAATCTACCACCACCACCACCATAAGTTGAAGGGGAGAAGGAGGTGCAGGCTGAGGAGGAGGAAGAAGATGAGGAGGAGGTGGAGGAGGACCCCCTCCCCCCCCTCCTACTCATGGTGGCGGTGGTGGTAGAAAACAAGCCCGCCGCCCCTCCCAAGAAAACTCGGCCTTGTTGGTTGTGCAGGTCCCGGGGGTGTACGCGCAGTGCTGGTGCGCGCTGGCATACGTGGGGCTGCCCACCGCGAAAAGGTCAGATTATCGGCCGGCACCTTCCCCCCTCCTCCCCGTATGACTTGGGCGATCGCTGAAGATTGCAAACGACGTCGTACTCATGGACGGGTAGTTTGGAATCCCGCCGGGCGCTGCCACCGCTTCAGGGCCTCTCCTTCGGGCGTTGCAGCGCTGCCCGCAGCTCGGTGGGTGACTACGTGCCGATGCCGCTACCCCCGCTTCGCTGGCGCCTTCTTGGGGGCTTCCCGGGAGGGCCTCGTCGCCACGGCTGGGTTCGCCTCGAGATCTTGGTCTTAGATCGGGCATGTCCCCAAACCATGGTCTCAAACCGTGCAACAATAGTCAACACATGGTGGAATCATCGTCCCCGGATTGTTTTTTTTGGGCTGATTTGGAGTGTTCCTCCTGTAGAGGGGCATGCCCGACCTACTCCTGGCCCGAACGAACCCCAGGAGAGCGCCGGGGAGTCGGGAAGGATTGGGTTGGTCGCGCCGTTTCTTTCGTCTGAGGGTGGCTCTTGGCACTGCTGGGCAGCCTGGGAATCCTGGGTCTGGCTGCTCTTCAGCTCGGCCGTCTGACTGCTGAGGACACCTAACGCTGCGCCTGCTGCAGCCTCCCCCTTTGGGAAGCGGCGGCGGTCCGTCGGGGTCGCTATCTCCTGGCACCAGGGTAGAAGCTCTGGGTGTTTGGGCAGCACTGGCCAGGCATACGGCGGCGTGGAGTTTCCTTCCGCCCGCGGCCACGGAGGTCCCGAAGCCCCTCCCCACTGGGGGCGACCTCTCCTCCCGGGTCCGCTCGGGACTGCCTCGTGGGGGGCCCGACCTCAGCCACGTTCCCCCTGCAGGAGGATTTTGGACGAAGAATTCAGCATAGCCAGAAATGTCCAACATGAGCAAACGTAGTCGTAAACTCGTCCACCATGTTATTTCTAACCATTTTCGGATACTCCTCCTGTCGAGGGACAGGCCCGACTTAACACGAGGCAGAACTCGAGGATGCACGGCCGGACGGGCCACAATCGTGCCGTCGGAGGCCTGGGAGCTTCCGTGCGTGGAGTCCCCGTCAGGGTTAAGTCGGGCGTGTCCCTCTACAGGAGGAATATTCCCAAATAGTCAACAACAAAATAGTCAGAGGACGATTGTTCGAGTGTCTGAGAATTTTTGAATATGCTGTTTGGTCTGTCTTATTGTTCGTCCAAAATCGCCCTGTAGGAGGACATGCCCGACCTAACACGAGGCAGAACTCGAGGCAGTACGGCGGGACGGGCCACAGTCGTGTCGTCGGAGGCTTGGGAGCTTCCGTGCGTGGAGTCCCCGCCAGGGTCTGGCGGGGATATTATATAGGACGGTGAGAAATCCGCTACAGAGCGTTCTTCCAAAACGCCCTCAGAGCCTTCCAGGAAGCCCTGAGAGAGAGGGCCGCGGCGCCCGAGACCTCCTCCAGAGCCGCGGGATCTCAGAGATTCGAGATTCACGATTTACAGTCGACCCGCATAGTGAGGATGGGCAACCTTCCCAAGGGTACCCTTGCATCCTTGCCTCTTCGACCCATCCTTGGCCACTCTTGTTGGCCGCGCCCCGCTCGAAAAGCTTCGACGTGGCCGTCCAAGGCCGCTGCATCCTTGTCGCGCATCCTTCCTATACGGGTCGACTATATCCTCACCCAAGTTTGTCCGCAGAGCCTCCCAGGACGCCCTGAGAGGGCCGCGGCGCCCGAGCCATCCTCCAGAGCCACGGGGTCTCAGAGGTTCGAGATTCCTGATTTTCGGCGGTGAGCGAGGGGGGGAGGTGAGAATGAGAAGGCCTTCTCAGAAGGTTCGGAAGTCCCCGGGCCTTCTGAGAAGTTTCATGAGCCTTCCCCGAAGACATAACCAAAACGTCTCAGAAGGCGCGAGGGCCTGGGAGAAGTTCCGCCGCCTTCCGAGGAGGCCTTCTCCTTCTCACCTTCCCCCCCCCTCGCTCGCCGCCGAGCTTCATCCTCGCCCAAGTTGTACTCGTCCTGGCCTCGCCTTGCAGTGGGGGGCCAGGTCGAGAAGCCCTCTGCTTGCCTCCAGGATGCCCCTGGGTTTCTTACGTTTCGATGCCTCTGCGGTGGAAAGCGCGACGCTCCCACATCAGCAATCCGTGGACGTCCTGGGGTCTCAGGGTTGGGCTCCGTGTGGGAGGTTTCTTGTGCACTGGCTTCGGATGCAACTCCGGGGAGGTCAAAGTCTGATCTTGCCCTGGCCCGACATCCGGCTCAATCCGGCTTGCTCCCGTTTCATCCGGCTCAATCCCGCTTCATCCCGTTCAATCCGGCTCATAACCCTGCTTCATCCGAGGCCCAGTCCGGCGTGCCAGCCCCCCACCAGCTGGGGGCCTAAGCTTCTTTCATCCTTCCGACGAGAACCTCCCAGCAGTTGCGCCCTAAGACTGGCCGGCCCCTGTACAGGCGGGCGCCGACGGCGGCGGGGGCGCCGCCGGCGCGGGCGGCGCGGCCGAGGCGCCGCGCCGCACGACGTACCGCCTGGCGGCGGGCGAGGCCGCCTGGCTGCTGGACTTCGCGGCGCGGCCGGGGGAGGGCGGCGCGCTGGCGACCGGGGTCCTCGAGACGGGGGTCGGCCAGAGGGCCCGATCTTGCAGGATCGGATCGGATGATGATGCTGTTGATGAGGATGAGGATGAGGATGAGGATGATGATGATGGTGGTGATGGTGAGGATGATGATGATGCTGATGATGATGATGATGATGATGATGATGATGATGGTGAGGATGGTGAGGATGATGCTGATGCTGATGCTGATGAGGATGAGGATGAGGATGAGGATGAGGATGACGATGCTGATGCTGCTGCTGATAATGCTGCTGATGATACTGATGATGCTGATCATCATCATCATCATCATCATCATCATCATCATCATCATCATCATCATCATCATCATCATCATCATCACCATCACCATCACCATCACCATCATCATCATCATCAGCAGCAGCAGCAGCAGCAGCAGGGCCAGGGTTGCATTGACCGGGGCTTGGGTGCAGGATATCCTTCAGGATCTTCTTGGAGGATCTTTCGCATGGACCTGGGCTTGGGTGCAGGATCATGCAGGATCTTGCAGGATCCTTCGCATTGACCTGTGCTGGGGTGCAGGATCTTGCAGGGTCTTGCAGGATTCTGCAAGGCCTGACTGACCCGGGTCCAGACTTACCCGGGTCAGTGCGTCCCCGAGGCGAGGGACATGCGCGTGCGGAGCCAGCTGGCGAAGCGGACCTTCGCCGCCACGCGCCTGGCGGCCGAGAACGCCCGGCTCTCCTCGGGAGAGGCAAAAACACACACGCACACACAGAGGCACCTAGAGTCGTCGAGTCACAGGAGAGTGTAAAGGGAGGGGGAGACGAACATTAAGTCGGGCATGTCCCGTTTCAGGAGCACCACTCAAAACAAACAAAACAATTATTCTGGGGACGATATGTCGACTATTTCCCTTATTTTCCAAATGTATTCGAATCTTGTTTTATTCTTCGTCCACAACCCGCCTGTAGGAGGACATGTCCGACCTAAGACGGACATCCAGAACAAACATGTAGCACCCCACAGTCGCGGATGAGAGTGAAGGGGCGGAGGGGACGTCGGCAGGCTGCGAGGCTCTGAAGAAGCCCGCCGCAGGCGCTTAGTTTTTATAACTTATACAACGAGCCCGCCGCAGGCGCCGATTGTTCGTTAAAGCAATGTGGGTAGGTCGCGGTGTGGGTCGCGGGTGGCTCGATTCACAGGAGGGTGTAGAGAAGATGGGAAGGGGAGGGGAAGACGCCGGCTGTCGAAGCTGTCCTTCGCTGCCACGCGCCTGGCGGCCGAGAACGCCCGGCCCCTCGGGGGGAAAAAACCCTCAAAGGAAAACCAAAAACACCGTAAACATGTACATTTGGCGCTCCGCGCGGATTTCTTGGAACCGCGCTGGGGCCCAATCGGCGGCGCCTCCAGCGCCGCCCCAGCGCAGATCGAAGAAATCCGCCCAGAGTTCCAGCCCAAAGTTAATGTTTATGTTTTTTTCTGTTCTAAACACACACACACACATATCGGGGAAACGTAAGACTCGATCGAGTACGCTGGAACTCGGGTTTGTCGACGCTTTTATGGGCGAGCGCGTCCTGAGTTTGGGTGGTCCAGTTTTCGTGGGGTGTCTGCAGCGGGAGCTCGCGTCCAATTTCAGAC